ACGACACATTAACAAGCTTCAAGACACATGATATATAGCCTGGAAAAGCTCTACAAATTTTGCAAAAAATATCAAAGTTGTAAAATTCGCATTTTAGGTTCCAACCTTCCTCAGTCCAAACAAAATATCCAAATACATTCCTGGAGGCTCCCTGAAGCTTTTGCAATCATTACCAAGCCGTAAAACTTCACAAAACACCTCAGTTAGCTCCATTTTTATATTTTATAACTTGTTTCATGCAGATTTTATGCATTACATGGCCAGAAGTGTACCAAACACCATCAGATCTAACCTTCAAATCATAAGGGGTCTAGATCTAAAGGCTTCAGTTTGAGATCCACCATGCGCCCTAAAGGCCTCATCTCACCTGATCCAGCGTGGCCTGGGCTTAACATTCACTTGGGCCTAGCAAAATTCAATTTTAGCACCCCCAATTTCTAATTATCCTGGCCCATTTCGCATTGTTTTTGTCACTTTTCTTTGTATTTTTTTATTTTAATTTATTTTCTTCATTTATTTAATTAGTATAATGTAATAATAAAATCACAAAAAAAATATAGTTTTAGTTTTTTAATTAAATTAATTTTGTGAATTAATTAATAAGTATTTTAACTATTTTTCTTTAATTAAAAATAAATTAGAACTTAGGACTTAATTTATGTTTAATTATTTTCTTTAAATAATAAAAAAAACTAAAAAAGAATTTAGACTATTTTTCTTGATTAATTTTATTTTCTAAATAGATTTATAGGTTATTTACTTTCTTAAATAAAAAAATTAGCAAAAAGATTTTTCTTACTAGGTTGTTAGACGTATTTTCAACTTCCACGCGCATTATTTATTTTTGCAATTTATATTCATTATTGTACCTGTATACTGGATGTAATAAACTAATTAATATTTTTACCGCTTTCATTATTTTTTTTCTTCCCCCAATTTTTGTACATTGTAAACCCCCTCTCTGAAGCCATGTAATAGCGTAGGGTTTTATCTCCGCACTTTACATTTCTATATATATTAACTACTAGTAACTAGGCATGCATGAAAAGATTGAAATCAAACGCTAGCAAACTTAACAAAAAGTCAAAAATAACTGAATCAAACACAATTGCACACGCGCACCTCTAGTGTATCCCACTTCAGTTGCCTTCAGAAAACGGTCACAATTCTCGAAACGTGAGAAGTTTTAGTGACTATCCTCCAGTTTAAAGATCACTAGTCCCTCGATGACCCTCTCGATGTTGCCTCAGTTAAAAGTGATCTTAGAACTTTAGGGTGGTTACTAAAGCTTCTTACCAAGTTGCCTTCGTGACTGTAACGTCCCTTTGATTGTCCCTTATACATCCAACGATGGCGCTACCTACTAATTAATAGTAGGATAGCACTATCTAAGGGATATGAGGAAAAGAACTACCTTTTCGAGTACAAAGTAGATAGCTGTTAGAAGTTTGCTCAAAAACATTTTTGCAGTTACACAAATACTACTTTTCAAAAACAATTTTCAAAACATTTGCTTTGTTGACACTCTTGAGGACTGATACAAGAGTTAAACGCAAAGCAAATCGCCGCATGAAGGTATTTCAAAACATTTTTGAAACACAGAAAGCACAAATGTATTTCAAAATGAGAAAACCTCTAAGAGCCCGTAGATAACTACGAATGGAAAGGGTGCTAACACCTTCCATTTCCATAATCTACCCCCTTACTCAGAAACTCTCGAAAAGGTCTTTTTCTGTTCTTTTCACCCTTTCCTTAATTTGGTTAAAAGAAAAGTCGGTGACGCTTTTTCTTATTGCAACATTTGCAAATACAAAATGCAAAACCAGTATTAAACAATCGGTTCTGCCACCGTATCACATAGTCGATTACGCGAGGGGAAGGTATTAGCACCCCACACGTCTGTAGTAATCTACAGGATCCACTCTTGTTGTTCTAATCAAAGGGCGTGTTCAATCTAATGCTTAAGTGTTATGAAATGCTAAGAGGGAATGCATGCCAATAAAATGGAAAATAATGTAGGGGAAATAAAAGTTGTGCTCGTTCGGGACCTACCCCAATGCCTACGTATCCCTTTTAAGGAATCAGAGCAGCCGTAGTTCGGCTCACAAGTTTTATTTGTTTATATTTTTTTAATGAACAATGTTGAATTCTATCATTCCATCGCTGCTCGACCTGTGGAGACTTACGTCCTGTAGCAAAAAGGAAATAACATTCTCTTAGAAGAGAAAAGCCTAATGGTAAAAATAAATGGATTGGTTGGTAATTTTTACCATGAAAATAATTTTTGTATGCGTAGCATTTTTTATACATTTTCCAAGAAAAAGAATTTTTAGTTTTAAATACAATTATGCAAAAATAGGAAGAAAACATTTATGGGAGACTAATGTATCTCTAACCTAATGTTACCATACAATGATTGATCCTAAAGTTGAGCTTTGAAGGGAAATCTCTACCCTAAGTTGACATGCTTGGATAACAGTCCTAATGTCTATCTCAACTCATCATCTATAGATGAACCAAGAAGTCCTAAAGGAGCATAACAAGGGTCTATCATCTCAAAACATGCACACAAAGACGAAATCAAACAAGCATATCAATAAGCTCAAGAGAGCACACCTAGAGAGATCCTATCTAAGTTAGCATGCCAAAGAAAGTCTAAGAAAACTATCATATGGGGAACATACAATGAGAGCGAAGTCGTGATCTCAATTTCTAAATTGAGTGACTCATCGATCAACAAGAAATAAAGGAAAGTGATAAAATCCTATAGGGAGCATGCACTGAGAGTGAATTCGTGATCTCAATTTCTAAATTGTGTGACTCATCGATCAACACCTAAGGAAACAAACACCAGCATGACACATATAACAAATGAAGTGCGGAATTCCTGCTACAGGTCTTTAAACAGTGATTTCGAGCGCACACTCTTTATTTCCTACTTCTCATGATATCTAGAAAGCGCAACCAAAGCAAATAAACCCATAATACTTTGCGCGAGCTGGCATTAACACACAAATAGTCAAAGATCGAATATTTGGAATAGGTGTTGAAGCTTCATCGATATGGAAATAAATCACAATTGGAATCCAAACACCTCCACATATCAAACAATGAACCTGCATAAGACTCAACTCAACAAGCAAAGGTGAATCAAAAGTCTCAAGAAATCAAAATATCATGAATTAATTTCCGAAAATCAACTAAAAAGTTTAAAAAATTTATTGATTTTTATATATTGTCCCAAAACATGTAAAAAAAATCTTAAATTTAAATAAGAAACTAGAATGATCAGGGGGTGCTGAGTTGCAATCAGGGAGTGTATAGGTCTAAAAGTATCTAAGCCCAAATATGACATTTAGTATATAACCAGATTTTTGTGCAACATCAGGATTTTCAAAAAAAAAAGGTGCATCGTGGGCTCACTGAGGATGTGCGACCCAGTTCAACAATAGTGGTCCGCATATCCAATTAATTTGTTTATTTTTCATTCAGCTTTAATTCATTTTTTGGTTATCTAAAACTGAAAAAAATGTAAAAAAAGAAATAAGCAACTAGAGTTGAAATTGGTGTTAGGGTTAAAAAACCAAGTCTTTTCATCTTCTCACAACAATACGACTCCCTCTTTCTTTCTCAAAACAACCCGCAACGCTTTCTTCTCCCTTCATCTCATCTCCATCCCCACGCTTCTAATTACTCAGTGGATCGTCAGTTTCACCCACCTTCCGCTCGGTCTCACTGTGATTCCATTTCCGACGTTACTCGTCAAGCGTTCCACCGTGCCATAAGCGGCAGCGTGATTTTCTTGCAACCTCTTTTGAAATCCCACACCGAATGCGCATAGAGCAAAAAGTTTAGAACAAAAATGATGAGAGAACAGAGAGATCGACGTTTACCTTCCGGAGAGCGTCTTGAGCGTCCAACGCTTCTTCAAGAAGATGAAGCTAATGAGAAATCCGGATAAATCGGTTCAAGTATGCCCAATTTCATCTGTTTCCTCATTCTTCTCAATTCCGTTTCCGTGATTGTGCTTTCGTGATGCGCTGGATGGATGTTGTTGAGATTATTGCGTTGATGATGTTTCTTGAAACGTGAAGCAGGTTGTTGAAGACAATGATGATGAAGGAGTATAAAGCTTAGTGAAGCGGTTCAGAGAAAATGATGAAGATACAGGAAGACGTATGGTGCGGTTATGGAGGTGAAGGAGGTTAAAGAATGAGGGAGGTGGCAAGGGTAATTTGTGGTTATGGTGTTGAAAGTTGAAGCGTGGAAGAGGGAGTGAAGGTTGAAGATCAGAGATTTTTCTTTTATTCTTGTTGTCAAAATCAATCGTGGAAAAATGAAAAATCTTTGAAATTTGAAGGGAGCAGAGTATATATACTGGAGGGAGTATTCATTTGAACCATTGGATTGAGAGGAATTGGTTAGAAGATGAAGGGTGAGGATGAGTCAGTTACTCACCCTCTCAAAGTTAGTTAGGACTTTGAATTCAGTTATAGATTCTGTTAGTCATTTTAATTTCTATTATCACAGTTTGTTATGGAACTCTATGATATTTGGAGTGTTAGTAGGTCTTCTTGATTCTTCTTCTTTTTTTTCTACAGGCTAACCGTCTTCTGAATAAAGTCACAAGAATTGAAGATTCGCGAAACCCTTAGAAGTTGAGTTTAACAGGGTTAGTTCACCACTACAGTTATGAGTTGAATTTGACCTGTGTAATTGTTTTTCTTTTTATGCAGGCTGGCTTGAATAGAGTAAACTCTTCTTCAGTTTTTTTATTGGTTCAATCTGTTAGAAAAAGTTATAATTCTGTTTTGATGAATGAAAACGGTTAGGGGTTTTTGCTTTGAGGGCTAAGCAGTTAGTTTCTTCTCTTGTCATTCTGTTAAAAAAATTATGTTACCAAGCTTATTAGAGAAGTCTTTCAATTTGCTGAGCTGGAACAATATTTTTAATTGGACTGTAAACTACATTCAACTGATGCCTCCCATTTTCTCGCCGTATTATTCATTTTTGGCTTTCTTCCATTTTTCTGATTTAATTCCGTTTTTCCTCTTTGTATTACTGAGTTTTTTAAACTGAACATGTACACATTTGTAATGCTGGAACCAGTTTTTCAATTTTGACAGGTTTAGATTGGAGTTAGCATAATCGAGAAATCCAAGATTATGGAGAATGAGGATGGAATCAAGGCACATCTTGAAGGGAATTGGAGATTGGTTCAAGCATGAAGTTTAGACATTAGGATGAAGTTTTATGCATTTATTTTGTAACTCTTCATGTAAATTGAATTTGTGATGGTAATTAAGTGGAATTTGGTACATGAACTTGAAATTCCTCTTTGTAATGGTTTATGATATAGATGTCCATGTAACATTTTGAAGATTCAATGGTAAACCTTAGTAATCGAAGTGTTCTCTTTCTTTCATATTGAATTATTTCTCTTTTATCTTGACATGGTATGGATGGAATGATGATATAATGAAGTTTGAAGCATGGTTTGTGTGATGTGGTGGGAGAACTAACTTGAATGTTTTGCGTTTGATCGAAAATGTTGAGGTTAGCAAGAGTCGCCACCGACTTTTCTTTTATCCAAAAAGGAAAGGTGAAAAAGCACAAGAATGACCTTTGAGATTATTTCTTGAGTTCAGGGGTAGATTATGAAAAGGGAATGTATTATCACTCTTTTCGACCATGGTTATCCATGGACTCTTAGTTATTTGCTAGATCACTTGCTTTTGTTTGAAATTGTGATTTGTGTGGTTTTTTGAAAGTATTTTGTAAAGAGGCCTTTGTTTAGGCTATCTTTGTAATGATTGGCGTTCGTAAGAATGTATACAAAGATGTTGATCTTTTTGAAAATGTTTTCAATGTTTGTAAGATGTTTGGAAATGTGTGTGTTTGTTTTGAAAATAGTAAGAATGTTTGATTTGAAATGGAGCAAGTAATTAAAAGTAATCCACCTACTCAAAATGTCTTTCTTGTTTATTTTCTTTTCCTTTGACATTGTTGTCTTACCATTGATTTGGTAAGAAACCCTGTCTTTGGATGTAAACGGGACGGACATGGGTCATTGTATAACCATGATTAGAAATATTGCAAGGTATCTTAGCATTTTTGAGGGACTAAGATCATTTTTGTAAGACAACTTTGAATAGCGTTATCGAGGGTCTATGATCTTGTATTTCGATTGTTTTTGCTAAGACACCCCACATGCGTAACATGACCATTTTTTAGGCAACAAGTGGAGTTAACCTTAAGGGTGTTAGTGTGCACGTGTGTTTGATTGCATGAATTTTAGTCTTGATTAGGGTGATCTATTTGTCGATTTCATGTCTTGCCATACACACCCTAATTACTAACATTTACATTCAAAAGCGATAAATTGCAGAAATTTAAAGTCCTACGCTATTACAATATTTTAGGGATGGGGGTACATATTTATGAATGGGGTTTGCAAATAAAATTAAATCCTAAGTTACTATTACAACCATATTGAAATGGATAAGAATGTACAAGAAATGTAAAATGGACTTGTTTCATAAAAATGAAGTAAGTTGGTTTGAGAAAATATTTTAATTTTTTACGTTAAAAGAAATAAAATAAGATATGTGAATATAAAATAATATTTTTATGTGTTTTTTATTAATAATTAAAGAAAATGATGGAAAAATAATAAGGAGAAAGGGAAACAGAATCAACGCTTTGCTGAAAATAAAAGAGGTCAGAAGTTCTGACTCTGGCGTGCTGCAAAACAGATATCCTGTTAGTGAAAAATAGGTAAAGTCAGAAGTTCTGGGTCTGTTGGGAACAAAGAAGATTTCAGAAGTTCTGATACCACTGGCAGAATTTGGTCTCCCTCTCCATGCTAGTCAGAACATCTACAACTTGGTCATTTCTCAACAAAACAGAAGATGCGCATATGACAGTTATGGCAGGTTTCATAGTGTTTCAGAAACAAGAGATATCATAATTATAAATCAGTGGCAATCATGAATTTGCTAATCCTAATTCTGAGTTCTAATTTTTTCAAGAAGTTCTGAACTGATTTACTCCTTACTTAGGCAGGCAAGTATATGAAACTTCAGACTGTGTCTAGCATCAGAATCAGGATGTCTACATTGTATTTTTTAGCATGCAAATATGATAATGCTTAAGTAATATGGTGAGAGTCAGCAGAAACTTACCTTGCAGCTAGAAGAGATTCTGTGAATTGGAGTTTGGTCTTGAACTCTGGTGATGTTCTGAGCAGCTTCTTCACGTACTCAGCAGGTTGGAAGCTTTCACCTTCTGGAACAACTAAGGGGTAATGTTCTGACTTCTTTGAGGTGAAGGTGGAGGGAAAGTGTATTACAGTATGAACACAAAAGTTAGGATAACTTCTAATATGTGAATCAGAAACTGTGTGAATGGTTTTTTAGTCAAGAAACACTTGAGAACAAATGGAGTTTGAAAACAAGAAATCAAAAGTTAACAGGTTTTTTGTATTTTGTGTTTGCAACTTTGGACTCTTGGAATTTTAGCAGGGGTTCAAGGCTTTTTCTTTCTCAATTTTTTTGACCCTTTTACAGTTGCCAATGTAGTTCAATTTATATGCAAGGATTTAGTAGCTTGGAGAAATCAAAAGCACAACCATCATATACTAGGCGCTGACTTGTTCTTGAAGCAAGTTCAAACAAGTATGGTTCAAGGCACAAAGTAAGGTGGTTAGCAGCTTTTAGCCGTGCCTAAGCTGGATTTGTAAGCATGAATTAAGGAAAATTTCCCTCAAAAGCAAAAGAGAAGCATGGGTCCAACATAAACTTTGTACAAAATCTGCTTTTCAAGGACAACAATGGTACTTCTATGCCACACGTGGGGAAATTCTTTAGATAAAGACTCAAAAGTAGTTGTGAGCTTTAAATGATGATGAGATTTATCAAACCAGAAATCATGCAATGTGATATTTTGCATCATTGCTTGATTCTGGGTTAGAGGTTCAGCTTCAGCATAATTTAAAGTAAACATCCAACTTCTGATATTTGTATCTCCTTGCTCCAGCATGTTCTGAAGGAACTCTCAAACTTTCCAGGAAGCTTGCAACATGCTTTGTAACCTTCTTTGAATTACCCTTGTAAACTCTGACTGAACCTTCATGAAAACTGGCCCAGAAGTTCTGACCCAACTCTGTCTTGAAAGTGCCCAAAATTTGCTGAGCGCTTCAGTTTCATGGACGTGTCTTTGAACATGAAATTCCAGCATTTCCAAGGGAAGCTCTGTTCTGCAATGTTTTAGATCTTATTGAAATATATAACTTTTGTGCCAGAAGTTCTTCCAGAATCAGCTTGCATCATGGTGATAATCTGATCAGAAGTTCTGAGCTTGGCATATTCCTTAAACACTTAGAAAAATTCTATGTATTTAGAATTTTGACCTTTTTGAATTTCTTGATGAAACAAACTTCATATTTAAACGTGTCTTGATGAAATATTATTTTTGAAACTTGATTTTGATCTAAAAGTCAAAGTTTGACTTTTTAATATGCAAATGACCATTTTGCCCTTGTGAATGACTTTCTTGGAAAATTTGTAATTCAAGGCTTGGAATTGGATGGAAGCAAACATGAAGGTCTAGGTTGATCCTTTGAGAAATGAGAGGGCAAATTTTGGGGTACAACAGCTGCCCCTGTTCAATCTTCTTAAGCCTGAGGATGTAGATTAGCTGGTCTGCCTTTCATGATCTGAAGGTGGAAGATAATTGAACACTAGAGTGCCCAGAAATTTGCACTCGATGATGTTGTGGTTGATTGTGTAGGGAATGGGATTACAAATTCCATTTGGAAGGCGACGAGGAATCGTCAGAGATTGGCTTAAAGATGCCATCTAGAAAAGATCAATTGCATAAGAGATTCTTCGGCAAGAATTCATGTACCTGCTGTTGAGGAGGACTTTGCTGAGGAATGTTGATTTACGCCCTGGAAAGATCTAGGAGCTTTGGTTATACATTACTCTATCGGGGAATTAACTCTTGATTGAGGGAGCGAAAGTAGAATGTATACCTAGTTAGGGTCTAAGCTGTACAACGACTTACTTGGGAAATATGAAATTGACCGTATCTGGTCGGGTCTGGGCCTTTCAGTGTTGTAAACTATTATCTGGAGATAAGGGAGAAGGAACCTTGATAGCAAGGTTACTTCGCGATGAAAGCCTGGATAGTAGGGTTGGGGGATTTGTCATTCAGAGATATGATGGATGGTTGTTGGAGGTGGGCTTGCAGATGCCATCCCAGAATGATTGTTGATTTTGTAATTTGTAAGCTGAAACAATGAGTATTAGGACGAAATTCGTGTTTGGAGCGTATCTGAACTGTATCAAAATCTATCTGAATGAGTATCAAAATGACATCCATATCTGGAGCGTATCTGAATTGTATCTGAAGTTGAATCTGAATGAGTGTCAGAATGGCATCCGTATCTGGTGCGTATCTGAACTATATCTGAGAGTTGAGTCTGAATGAGTATCAGAATGGTGTCCGCGTCTGGAGCGTATATGAACTGTATCAAAAGCTGTTTTTGAATGAGTATCAGAATGGCATCTGTATCTGGTGCATATCTGAGTTGTATCTGAGAGTTGTCTTTGAATGAGTATCAGAATGGTATCCGTGTTTGGAGCATATCTGAACTGTATCAAAAGCTATCTAAATGAGTATCAGAATGGCATCCGTATCTGGAACGTATCTGAACTGTATCTGAAGTTGAATCTGAATGTCTGTCAGAATGGAATCCGTATCTGGTGTGTATTTGAACTATATATGAGAGTTGAGTCTGAATGAGTATCAAAATGGTGTCCGCGTCTGGAGCGTATCTGAAATGTATCTGAGAGCTGTCTTTGAATGAGTATCAGAATGATATCCGTGTCTGGAGCGTATCTGAAACTGTATCAAAAGCTATCTTTGAATGAGTATCAAAATGGTATCCGTGTTTGGGGTGTATCTGAACTGTATCAAAAGCTATCTGAATGAGTATCAGAATGGCATCCGTATCTGGAGCGTATCTGAAGTTGAATTTGAATGAGTGTCAGAATGGCATTCGTATCTGGTGCGTATCTGAACTGTATCTGAGAGTTGAGTCTGAATGAGTATCAGAATGGTGTCCGTGTCTGGAGCGTATCTAAAATGTATCTGAGAGATGTCTTTGAATGAGTATCAGAATGGTATCCGT